GAACCATGTGCACAAACACAGAGAACCAGAACACACCCAGAACAGACATGCACACAAACATCTGGAACCAGATATGTGTGCGCACACAGACAAACAGAACCAGACAGAGGCAGACAGACACACAGAACCAGATGCACAGGTACATGGAGCCAGGCTCCTGGGCCGCTGGACAAAGTCCAACCCAACAATACCCTGGTCCTGCCAGAGCCCCTGTGCTTCCCTAGGGAGCCAGCCCCCGGGCTGCAGCGCAGCTGGCCGAGGCCCTGGCCTGGAGCCTGCCCATCAGCCTAACCACCCACCTACCTCACACAGCTAAGCCCACAAAAGGTGCACTGCTCCTGGCAAGGGGCAGCCAGCCTCATCCTGGTGGGGGGCTGGGTCAGGGCTGGGCTTAGAGCAGGTGGGAGTCAGGTGGGCTCAGCTGCAAGCCTGGCTGCATGCAGCCGGGGCTCCGTGGTTGGCGGCAGCTACCAGAGTCTGGGCCGGCTGCAGCCAGGAGGCTGCAAACAGCTGCTCCAGGCTCTGGCATCAGCTCCATACCAGTGAATGCACATGTGCCTCGGAGCGGATGGTAGGGATAGGTTCTGAGGCAGCACAGACCTCCTGCTGTCTGCTCTGAGGTACACGTAAAGTTGACACCAGCATGGAGCTGATGCTGGGGCTGTGCAGCCCAGCACAGCTGTTTGCAGTCTGTAAAAAAGTGTATGCACAAATTATACATGCACATGAATCCTAATAAGCCATAAACATCCTTTTCATCTGTCTTCTGTTTTCTTTACACCAGTTTGAAAGTGTTTCCTGAGCTCTTCGTTTTATTTTCCCTTGTCTGAAGACAATTGCGGCACTCAGGCTCAACCTGCCATTTCTTACATGAGTTTTCTACTTGCATATCTGGCAATTAGTAAAACCTTCATTTGGTTAGCAAGCTTGACATAGAAGTTGATATAAAAGATGACCGCTGTTGACCGGGTGTCAAATGTGGTCTCATAACTTAAATAGGCTCTTAGTGTAATATTTATATTTAGTTGTTTAGCAAATCACATTTTTAGCTATAGCTACCCTTCAAATCTGAGTGCGTAGGAGACCGTGTCAAGAAAATTACCTTTATCTCAAGAAATTACTATCTGCTAATATCTAACTAAATAATGATTCAGACTTCAGCAGCCTATGATAATGATATAAATAATAACCTGTGGGAAACTGCCTTAACTTTTCAGAACTAAAAAAAGAAGAAAAAATCCAATCTGGCTTCCACTTCATTAAGTTACATTTTACCTTTCTCCTCTGACCCTCCACTGCCACTGCACCTAAGCTATTTAGTTGCTGAGTTTTCCCTGTTTGAAACGAAATTGATACCACTGATTGATACCACATAGCTCCAGGGGGTAAAAATGAAGGGCTTGATGTGGCATGCCATGCTAAACTCCAGATTCTGGGCTCATGTATCAGTCAGAGCACATCCTCATCAGGTAGCACAGTGTCAGAGGGGCACATGGAAGTGCTCTGGGTTAGAATACAAGGC